GGGGTCTGGGTTAGGGTTTAGGGTCAATGATTTGTGCTTCTACATTGCACATGGGTTGTTCTCAAGATCCTAGGCCCCTTTTGGTTGTAGAGTATGCTACGGCGCCTAATACTTAGGGGTACCAAAATGGTAGTTCCCCAAAATAGGGGGACCCCAATATGGACCTCAAATACTATAATCCTTATTATTGGGACCCCCAAAATGGTACCCCTAATTTTAGGAAATCCCCAAATGGGACCTTAGTTTTTGGGAACTACTCACATGGTAGCCCAAGTGAATGAATCCCTGTAAAGACGACTGTCCTTTCACAGGGCCTATAGAAACTTTCACCATCACTGAACAGGGGTCGATTTTGATTTTTAAAATATTACCCTTAGTTCCTATATAATCCTTATAAAGCCATGAAATTTTGATTTTAATGATCGTTTGAGGGGCAGTCAGCCACCTGCTTCATGACAGCGGTTGATTAGGGTATAGGTTGGGTGCTGCTCCCACCCTTTAACCAGTCTGTATTAGAGATCATAGATCATATTAAGGGCTGTATACAACCAATTTATAAATATTACCCAACTGTTACAGAGTGGGGGCAGTATCCAAGGCATAGGATCTTGAAGGGTAGCACTGCAAAACTTGGTGGTGAATTGGGGAAATCGGATGCGGGAATGGACGTACGATTATAGTGACAGTATAAGATTTAAGGATCCACTTATAAACCCTAAACCTTGAAACACCAATAAAGTTCAGCTGGGCGTCGTAGGCCTCTGGAGCTATATACTGGTCCGTGCCAACCTGTGTCGCAACTGGCCCTTGTTTGGAGGGCTCATGGCTTGCATGTCCCTTGCACGGATTACAGCTGGGATTTAAGGTCTGGGACTTAGGGTTTACCATTTAAGGTTTAGGGTCAATATAGAACTCTTTCAGTGGCGGACGCTTGGGTCCGACCAATATGCCGAGGATGGCAGGATTGCGGTTCCTTTAAGGATTCTGTAGAGGCTTTTTTAGAAACCTTTATGTGGAGCTGCCGAGGTTGAGGACCTCGAAGATTTCAGTCTGATGCTTGAAAAGTAGCAGTCTACGGTAGAAGGCTTAGGAGTATAACGTGGTGAAGATCAGTGTCTCTGGCAATTACAATTCCAAATCAAGACCCCTGCTGGTTGCGCTTGGTGCGCGCGCACGCCCACCCAAGCCCTGAAGCCACAAACCCAAAGTCGAACCCATAGGAAGGTTTCGAGTCGAATTTCATCGAATCTTCGCCCAGCAACCCCCAACCCTAAACCCTAAACCCTAAACCTCAGACAAAGGGGTTCGTAAAGCCTTCAACCTCCTAGGCTTGTGCTAGAAATCACGGCTTACGATAGGATTTCGGATTAGCCGATATGTCATGTGAGCCATGGTCTAAACCCTAAACCCTAAACCCGGTTTAGGGTTTAGGGTTTAGGTTTTAGGGTTTAGGGTTTAGGGTAAACTCCTTGAAGGGGGGTTATATAGGGGATTATATGGGGGACTACCACAGGGGTTATTATTCGGGGGGATACTAGGAGTTTAGACTATAGCTCATGTATGTATAATAAATTGCAGCACTCATGCAATGTAATGTAGTGTATTAGAAGGAGAGCCTCTGGAACATCTCTGCTGCTTGTGTCATCGCAACGCCAAAACGTCAACCCACCACCATAAGCCCCAATTCCCAAAGCGCAAGCCATAACTCTGATCCATACTTGAAACCCAAAAGACCTTTACATAAAGGACTTCATGCAAGGGTTTCTACTAGATGGTCCAGAGTCTGAGGGTCTTTCGTCCTGAGGTAAGCCCCAACCAAGTACCACAAACAAAGGTTAACCAGTAGAGTGGAAGTCTAAGTAATTACCAATAACATGCCGAAGCACCCTATACCATAAATATATGAGCTATAATCTAAACGCCTAGTATCCCCCTTAATATAATCCCCCTATACAATCCCTCTTTAAGGAGCGTAGACACAAGCTCATACAAGGAACCTGGCATCATAATAGTTACTGATCCTCATCAAACCCACACAGTTTAGGGTTCCCAGTTTCCGTGCATCTTCCATTTTCATTGTGTTTCATTCTCCAGTAGTCCTTGTATTTTGGCACCTACATTAGCCCACCTTGGGCTTCGCTACAGTAAGCCCAAAACCCTGCAAACCCTAAACCCTAAACCCTGAACCCCCAACCCCAAAACCTCAACCCTACATGCTGAACCCTAAACTACAAACCCTAAACCCTCAACCCTGGGGTCGGCACGATAGTCACTTTGTGGCCCTCCCTCCTGAAGGCACTCTTAACATTCTCCGGAGCTTGGAGCTCAGGGTTTAGGGTAGGGCTCATAGGGCGTGGGGAGCTTCTTGAAGTTGAGTGCGCGGCTCATAGGCCTTAGGGGCTACATAGAGGTTCCAAACAGGTTGTATTGGGTTGTATAGGGGTTATATTGGCATTATGGAGTAAACGGGCTTGGGGTCTGCGATCTATGATCTCGCATTTGTAAGAGTTCAGGGCTCGGGTTTTGGGATCTATGATTGCGTTCATCAAGTAAATAAGGTGTATTGACTTCTGTATGGGTATAAAAGCCAAGGCACCTAAACCCTAAACCCCCCTTTCAGCTTCGGGGACTGTACAACTGTGCATCGCATTGCCAGCCAGTGGGACAAATATAGACGCCTATATACTAAGAACAAGTAGGGCTTAGGGGTACAGTGTTGCCATTAGTCAGGCTTCTATGATGTCATGCAGAGGTTTCCTAGAAGTGACTTAAACATTGAAGAAGCTGAGAACCCGCCTATATCCTCACACCCAAAAGGTCGTCAAAGGCGATCCATGATTCTCCACAGCCCTTAAACCCTAACCCCTAAGCCCTAAACTCCTAAACGCCTAGACCCTGAACCCCTAAACCTCTA